CCCAGGCACCCAAATTTTAAAATTCTATTTCTTCGTCCCCTCTCCTTCACCAAGACTGGCCCTGTCTAAAAGTATAATGATCAAAGTCTCTAAGCCAGGTAATTGATAAAAATATAAAATTATTCATGGGACGCCTGGGTGGCTCAGTCGGTTAAGCGTCTGCCTTCGGCTCAGGTCATGATCCCAGGGTCCTGGGATCGAGTCCCGCATCGGGCTCCCTGCTCCACGGGGAGCCTGCTTCTCCCTCTGCCTCTGTCTCTCTCTCTGTCTCTCATGAATAAATAAATAACATCTTTAAAATATATATATATATATATAAAATTATTCAGATTCAAGAAAGACCACTGAAGAATCTATTCATCATTACCCTGCAGATAGGATTTGAAAGCACAAATACAAAACTGGATTCAGATATTTTAAATCATGTTTTCCCACTTGTGCATGTGAGAACAGGCAAGTCTTCTTAAGGTCAGTAAAGGTTCCGTCTATCACTTCTCTTGAAGGGCCACACTGCTGTCTTATTAGAGAAAGAACAATATAACAAAAAAGTCTTCAGGAAATTATGTGTTTAGTAACCAATATTCCATATCTAAAGTGTATGTAAATTAGCAGAATACAAACCCTTTCTCGCATCTATGGGCACCTTCCTAGTCCTCCAAAACCATTTCCAAAATGGGATGCAAGCATCCAGTAGTCTGTTCCTAAGCTTCCTGCTGTTCCTAAGTTCTAGGAGCAGGCTCGGGCCCCAAAACTTGGACACTGTTAGTATAGTAATTACAACTTATGACAAATGACAACTTATGACACATGTTATCACTACCACGGCTTGCTTTGCTTCCCTCCAACCCTGTATATTCCCATTTGCTTTTCCTGGTTCACAGCAGGTTTCTTTTTGCCCCGTGAATATCGAGGTTAAAAAGCCTGTGACTCTTTGTTATCAATTTCCCCTCTTCATTTAATAATAGTTATCACTTTTTTTATATATCTTTTCAATTCAAAAAGTACTGAGCTGTATTTCCCTACTGCCAATTATGTGGGGAGGTGGCTATAACTCCTTCCCTGCTTTATTTAGCCTTTTCTCTCTTTGGCCTTTGAGAGTCTTAACTATTTTTATATTGCTATTAGTAAAGTGGATAGCTTCTACTTGTAGATTCCCTTTTAGAATTGTCCACTTAAGAGTAACTTGAAGGTATAATTAAAGTTAGTTAAATTTTAAAGCATTATTCTACCTGATAAAGACCGGAAATAGAGGGGGAAAGGTGTTTACCATCAACAAGTCAAAACAGAAAATTCTTTACAGGCAGAGCACGTTTTTTGCTTAAGATTTATTTATTTATTTGAGAGAGGGAGAGCACACAAGCAGGAGGTCAGGGAAAGGGAGAATCTCAGGCAGACCCCGAACTGAGCATGGAGCCAGATGCAGGGCTGGATCTCAGGACCCTGAGATCATGACCTAAGCGGAAACCAAGAGTCAGACACGTACCCAACTATGCCACACAAGCACCTCCAGAGCAACTTTTTCTTTTTTTTAAAGCTTTATTTTTTTTTAACATTTTATTTATTTATTTGAGAGAGAAAGAGAGAGAGCACAAGAGGGGGGAGGGTCAGAGGGAGATGTGGGACTCGATCCCGGGACTCCAGGATCATGACCTGAGCCGAAGGGAGTCGCTTAACCAACTGAGCCACCCAGGCGCCCACAACTTTTTCTTATTTAGTTCTTTGATTAAAACAATTTAAAGCACTGCTAATTATTAGGAGCGGGCTTAAAATAATGATGAAGAAACAGAAAGCTAGTTCTTAATGCATGATCACATATTCTCCATTCAATGTGCAAATATATACTGATCTGTGAAATCAGACAATTCTTTCCTCTTCTTTATGGAATGAATACAAGGGGCCACACCACCAACAGAACATTAGAAAGATTAATATCTGCAGGGAAAAAAATTGTATGTATGGTATTTATCACCACAAGGAGTATTTTATGTCTTAGATAGGACTATTATTCATTCAGTACTGACCATCTACACAAAGCTAAGCATTGGGAATATGTAATAAAAATATATGTGTCCTGACCTCAAAAAAATTACAGAAACCCAAATTCTTTTATGATATGAAATTAATAAAATAGTTTCAAATCAGATAAGATTCTGTGAATACCTGCTGATCACGTAATTAATACTAGCACTTAAAATTTAAATTCAACTCAGAGTTGTGAGATCAAGCCCTGTGTCATCTCCGTGCTCAGCGGGGCATCTGCTTGAGATTCTCCCTTTCCCTCTCCCTCTGCCCTTCCACTGCCCCCCCTCTTCCCCCACAAAAAAATAAAAGCACATAATTTAGTGAACCTCATTTAGCAACTGAAAGACCTCAATCACAGCAAAAGAAAATACATTGGGGGGTGCCTGGGTGGCTCAGTCGTTGGGCATCTGCCTTCGGCTCAGGTCATGATCCCGGGTTCCTGGGATCGAGCCCCGCATCAGGCTCCGTGCTCCGCGGGAAGCCTGCTTCTCCCTCTCCCACTCCCCCTGCTTGTGTTCCTGCTCTCTCGCTGTCTCTCTCTCTGTCAAATAAATAAATCTTAAAAAAAAAAAAAAATTTAAATTCAATTGGCAACATCCTTGAAAGGAATTCAAACTACTCCTGCTATAGAATAATGTTTTGTCTTCAGTGTCTCATCACAATTCAAGATTTTAGAGCAGGATGAGAGATGAGCTGATTGAATTTATCAATCCCCTCTACAGTTTCCAAGCAAAAATGATCAACCATTTATCGGCACTTCTGAGAGTGAAAAACTCTTCCCTATAAGATACTAACTAACACATTCAAACATGTCTATCTCAGCTAGGGAACGAATCCAGTGCCCACTCATAAATCCAACTTCCCAAGAATTGGAATGAATCTCCCATTCAATACAAATGGCACCAAGTGACACCAAACCAAAAGGTTTACACTTTACACTGAGACAATGTAAATAAGCTCACTCTACTAAATTCTAATGTATATGTGTAATCAGTTAAGACATGTAAGGTCTCAAGACTGTAGCAAGACCACCTGGAAATTCTTTCTGGGAAAAGCTACATTTTGGTGTGCCTGTAAAAATTATGATTTCCTAAACTGCAGATCCCTCTGATCTGTTCTTTAGTTCTACCAGGAAAAAGAAAATCTATCACGTACTGAATGATTATTACCTGCTAGGCTCAGTGCTAAGCATTAAAAAGACTGTCTAATTTAATCCCACATTCTCTGGAGTAGACATCATTATGTCCATTTATAGGTAAAGAAATTGAAGCAAAGAGAGGTTTAAAACTTGGCCTGAGTATTTTATTCTTTTTGGTGCTACTGTAAATGGAATTGTTTTCCTAATTTCCTTTTCAGATAGCTCATTGTTAGTATATAGAAATGCAACTGATTTTTGTATGTTGGTTTCATATCTTGCAACTTTACTAAGTTTATTAGTTCTGTTAGTCTGTTAGTCTTTAGGGTTTTCTATATATAAGATCATGTTGTCTGCAAACAGGAACAATTTAAATTCTTCCTTTCCAATTTTGAAGCCTTTTTAATCCCTTTTCTTGCCTAACTGCTCTGGCTAGGACTATTTGCCTTAGTCCTTATCACCTCACACCTGTCAGGATGGCTATTATCAAAAACAAAAACAAAAGGCAACAAGTGTTGGTGAGGATGTAGAGAAACTGGAACCTCTGTACACTGTTGATGGGAATGCAAAATGCTGCAAGTGCTATGGAAAATAGTAAGGAGGTTCCTCAAAAATTTCAAAATAGAATTACTGTATGATCTAGCAATCCTGCTTCTGTGTATTTATCCAAAGTACTGAAATCAGGATCTCGAAGAATTACTAGCACTCTCATGTTCACAGAGGCACAATTAATAATCACCAAGATTATTAATGTCCATGGACAGATGAATGGAATAAGCGAAGTGTGGTATATACATAGAATGGAATATTACTCAGCTTTTTTTTCTTTTAAGATTTTATTTATTTGACAGAGAGAGAAAGAGAGATCACAAGTAGGCAGACAGGCAGGCAGAGGGAGAGGGAGAAGCAGGCTCCCCGCTGAGCACAGAGCCCGATGAGGGGCTGGATCCCAGGAAGCCGGGATCATGACCTGAGCGGAAGGCAGTCGCGTAACCGACTGGGCCACCCAGGCGCCCCTATTGCTCAGATTTTAAAAGAAAATTCTACAATAGGCGACATGGATGAACCTTACTGACATTATGCTAAGTGAAATAAGCCAGTTACAGGGAGACAAATGATTTCACATATATATGAGGTATCCACTGATACGAGATGATCTAAAATAGTCAAAATCATAGACTGAAAGAGTGGAATGCTGGTTGCCAGGGGCCAGGAAAGGGGGAATGGGGAGTTCCTAATTAATAGGCATAAAGTTGTAGTTAAGCAAGATGAATAAGCTCTTGAGATAATGCTGTACAACATTGTACCTACAGTCAACAATACTGTCTTGCACACTTAAAAATTTGCTAAGAGGGTAGGCCTCATGTTAAGTATTCTAAACCACAATAAAAACAATTTTTTTTAATTGGCCCAAGAACTCAAGCCCATTTCTAACGGACACTCCCTTGCACCGACTTTAACACAATAAGCTGCCTGGAAGCAGATTAGAAGGTACTAACAGAGCTCTCTCCCAGCACTGTGTGACGTTAGGGAATTCGCTTAACAGCTCTGGACGTGAGTATCCTCGCCACCAAAATGAGTCTCAGCGCAAAGGCAACCCGTCGGTCTGCAGCCCCGGCCACGGGCCGACCTCGCACCGACCTCGCACCAATCAGCGGGACCAAGCGGAGGTCAAGCTGGATCTCAGCTCCTGAGCCAGACCGCAGGCGTGAAAGGGCGAAACGCCGTAGGAGGAAAGAACAAAGCCTGGCCGCGCTGGGTCACTATGACCCAAAGGAAAAGCGTCAGTACGACCAGCCCACGGCCTCGTTTCCTAGGCAGCTGGACCAAGAGCTCGGCTCACCTCGGGCGGGAATCACGGGCTGGCACCTCCCCTACACTCTGCGCCTCAGTCGCCATCTTAGTCAGCAAACTTCTCTCACCGCCCCCATCTCCGGTCCCGCCTCCACGCCTTTGGATTGGCTAAGGTGTTTCCCCCTCTTCCGTGCGATTGGATGACTAAAAATTTCATGATCTTATTGGTCTATTCAAATAGCTAACGGTTATTGGTCGCCCCCAGCCCAGGCGGAAAAGGGTTGGGGAGAAGACCCAGCCCTGAGGCCTGCTGGGAGTTGTAGTTTCTTGTTTTGATGAACCTTTCCGATTCCACCCACTTTTTAAGTTCTGGTCAGAAATCCCAGCCTACGCTCAAATTAAGTCCGGATGTGAAATCTCAGAATTGTAGAACTGCCGAATTTGAAATTGACTTTAAGAACAACTCTCTAAATACAAGATTCGTTTTGTCTTGACACAGAGATACCTAGAAGAGTAGGTACAGCACGGCAATCAACAAGTACATGACTGGGGGCGCCTGGGTGGCTCAGTCGTTGGGCGTCTGCCTTCGGCTCAGGTTATGATCCCAGGGTCCTGGGATCGAGACCCGCATCGGGCTCCCCGCTCAGCGGGAAGCCTGCTTCTCCCTCTCCCACTCCCCCTGCTTGTGTTCCCTCTCTCGCTGTCAAATAAATAAAATATTAAAAAAAAAAAGAAGTACTTGACTATTACATTTCAATCGCAGCCAGCTTTCTTCAGACAGCCACACAGCGTAGTGGTGGCTCACTTCTGCTTCTTCTTACACGCTCCCTTCTGGCTACCCAGAGAACCCGCAGGCTTTGCCTCTCTGGTCCGAAACAAGGAACCAAAAGCTCCATAACTTTGTCCCTGAATGCTCAGTGATAGAAATAATCATAATTATGCTTGCCTTCCCTGATTCATGAGCTTCTGGTAAGGATTAACAGAGGCAACAGATGTGAGAACATTGTAAACTTAAACCATTAAGGTTTTTTCTGTACTATTTTACCATGCTGGATTTTTCTAGGGATATTTTTCCTGTGGTTCCTTCTGACATGCTTTCACCTGAGGTTCTACCAGCATTCTCCTCCTCCACTAAGCTCTACCCACGTGTGTTTCAGTTTCTCAACAAACTCTTCCCTGCCTCAAGCCTTTGCACTTGCTTTTTCTGGCCGGCCCATTTTTCCCTTTATTATTGGTCAGATCTCAGCTTAAATGTCACTGGTTGGGACGGCTTCCATGGTCCCCACTGTATAAATCAGTTTGCTAACTACGCTTTCACAGAGCACTCTGCACTCGCCCTTCATAGCTCTTATACAACTTAAAATTATATAGTTGTTTGTGTGATTATTTATTTTAATATGAAGGTTCCCAACTAGACTTCCTACCACACATGGGCAGAGACGACATCTTATTTTGCTCCCCATGGCTTCTGGCACATAGTGACCTTTCAATAGTTTTTGAACAAGTGAATAAATAAGTCCTCAGATATGATCCAAAATAAAAGTTGAATCACATGTTCTAATAGGTTATTTCAATTGATGAATTCATATTAAAAATTTGATGAAAGTGTCAAAATAAAATTGCTTTATTTTATGTTTATTCTGTGTTTTATGTTTAACAGAATATCTTTATTGAGCAAATACATGAAAAGAAACACAAAATTCAACAAACATGTACCAGTGCAATTATTGGTTGAACCCAAGACCTCCTTGGAAAATCCAGGCTGCATATTTGGTATATATACAAAGCAAGGAATACAAATTCTGCAAAGGATTTCTCCAAAGTATGAACAAGTTTTTGTCCCAGCCCCCTGATACCCAGCATCAACTGACTGACTGATTGGATTAAACTGATGCTTTCACACAGAAGAAATGTTCAAAACTTTAAAGTATTACTGCTACAACCAAGTAGAACACCATACAACACTATTTTCTGGCTTATCTGTTTGGATGACATTTTTATACAAAGTCCTTAATGTTTGGAGAAATGCAGCCCAGTATTAAGAGCAGTAAGCCTACTTTCAAATCCTAGCTCCATTACTTCTAACTGTATGACCAACAACTTACTTAACTTTCTGATTCCTTTTCCTCCTCTGTAAAATGAGGATAATAATTCTCAGAGCAGGGGCGCCTGGGTGGCTAAGTCGTTAAACGTCTGCCTTCGGCTCGGGTCATGATCCCGGGGTCCTGGGATCGAGCCCCACATCGGGCTCCCTGCTCAGCGGGAAGCCTGCTTCTCCCTCTCCCACTCCTCCTGCTTGTGTTCCCTCTCTCACTATGTCTCTCTCTGTCAAATAAATAAATAAAATCTTTAAAATAATAATAATAATAATTCTTAGAGCAGTATTGTGAAGATTTAAATGAGATAATCTCTGAAACGCTGCTTAGCCTCACAGTGTGTGGCACATATTAAAACTAGATATATATTCAAGGTAATGTGATGAATGTTAAGAATGCTAAACTCCCGGGGTGCCTGGGTGCCTCAGTCGTTAAGCGTCTGCCTTCAGCTCAGGTCATGGTCCCAGGGTGCTGGGATCGAGCCCCACATCAGGCTCCCTGCTCAGCGGGAAGCCTGCTTCTCCCTCTCCCACTCTCCCTGCTTGTGTTCCTTCTCTCCCTGTGTCTCTCTCTGTCAAATAAATAAATAAAATCTTAAAAAAAAAAAAAAAAATGCTAAACTCCCTTCTCAGATACCACTTCCATCTCCATTGCTGTGGGATAAGAACCATACATTACACTTACAGTTATACTTCAATCAGTTACCCCAGAGAGGAGAGTGTTTCTCCTCAAAACCAACTATTCCGCTGTGATTTATGATGAAAAGCAAGTATTGTTGCTGAGTGCTGTAAAAGTACTCCCCAGGGCACCTGGGTGGCTCAGTCGTTAAGCGTCTGCCTTCGGCTCAGGTCATGATCCCAGTGTCCTGGGGTCAAGCCCCACGTCGGGCTCTCTGCTCAGCGGGAAGCCTGCTTCTCCCTCTCCCACTCCCCCTACTTGTGTTCCCTCTCTCGCTGTCTCTCTCTGTGTGTCAAATAAATAAAATCTTTTAAAAAAAATAAAATAAAATAAAAAAGTACTCCCCAGCCAGCAAGTCTGCCCTGTTTCTGCAAGGGTGTCCTGGCTCCCCTGAAATCATCCTTACTCCATTGAGGTACTGATTGCCAGCCTAGTGATAAGGATGGCCGTCCAGCAGGTATTCATGAAAAGTTCAGAAAGTCATCTTGTTTCCAACAGTCTGGCTGAACAAAAGGTCACAGGAAAGTGGCCCCAGCCCTCAAGGAGTTACAGCCTCAGGGAGATAAAATGAACACACATAAGTCACATACAACGGAAGGCAGATTAGAATTACCAAGGACGAAATATTAAAGCAGAGAAAAGACTCCTAGGAATTCAGAAGTATGGAGAAGGGAAGAAGGCCAGGGCTCCAAAGGGTGGTTAAGATCCAGGGCATGGATTTGAGTCTGCCACAAATGTCATGTGCGGGCATCTATCTACCCCCAACGAGCTTCAAACACCTTTTTATATTGTTTAATTATACAAATAACACATGAAGATGTTTCCCTTGTAAAAAAAATTTTTTTAAATAATACAGATAAAATCTCCCTTGTCAACCATCCCTATGTTCTAGTCCCTCCTCTAAGAAAATACCATTTTCGGTTTAATACGTGTCCTTCCAAATCTTTTTGGAACATTCATTCAAAAAATATTTATTGAATGCCTAGTATGCACTGTTCTAGGCCTGGAAATATAGTTGTGAACAAAGCAAAGTCCTTCTCTTGAGGCATTTCTTTCCTTTTCTTTTTTTCCAGTTAATCTTTTTTTTAGTAATCTCTATACCCAACACGGGGCTCGAATTCAGGACCCCCAGATGAAGAGTCACATGCTCTACCAACTGAGCCAGCCAGGCGCCCCTTAATTTTTAGATAAATGGTGATATATTGTACATATGATCTTTATAGGTGCATCTCGGAGATCTATGTCAGTACACGGAGACCTGCCATTACCCTTTTGAACTGTTGTGTAGTATTCCACCTTACAGATGCTCCCCAGTTTATTTAAACTACCTCCTCCAGACATAAAATAGGTTTATGTCAATCTGGATTGCAAGCACTGGAAACAGACTTTGGCTAACAGAACAGAAACCGGATTTGTTGGAAGGTTGAAGAGCTGGCAGGAAGGAAGGGGGCTGAGGAGCAAAAAACCCAGCCAAGGTCACACCGTGCCACTTGACTTGGCACAGCCACCCCTCCACTGATTTCCCATATCCTTGGGTCTCTGCATCACTCCATGGAGAGGAAGAGTCAAGGGTGAGAACATCTGATCAGCTGGACCGTGGTCACCTGCCTCCCCTCTTCTGCCTGGAGGAGAGCCCTATCCCCCACCAAAGTTCTCCCAGTGGGGAATTACCCACAAAGAGGGGAAAAATTAAAGGACAAATGTATGCTACAAATCATTCCCAATTTCTTGCTTCCTGGGACACCTGTTTATTGTGGGCTGGGGAAAAGATTAACCATTCAGTCTCCTTCAGACACAACAAGGACTAATACCTACATTATTCAATATGCCAAAAAAAAAAAAAAGAAAGAAAACTACCTTCAGTTTTCCTGTGAAATCCCCTTCAAGACTGGCCACAGGGTGAGTGGAGGAGGGAACTCAATGAGGTGGAGAGAAAAGGAACCCATTCTGTGCAGCTAAAAAAGACCCAGGTCGGGGCCGGAACCCCAGCAGGAGAACTCGAGGTCATTTTCCCCAGCCAGGATAACAAGCTGGGAAATAGTCAGGTCACAGGCAAAAGGCTGGCGGAGAGAAACACTGGAAGCACACTCAGTCACGGAGCATTTGTAGTTGGGATTCACCCTCTGTCAGACACTGAGCTCAGCGTTGAGCACTGAGCCGTGAATCCTACCTCCAAAAGCTCAGACTGGTGCTGGGGGGCAAGGGCACCAGGTTGCCTGGGCCTCAAGAGAGGCAAGGAACACACTCTCTGAACGCCTGAAAGTACGGCAAGCAGCCAGGCCTGGCACAGGGGCTGGAGCTGAGGGAGGCCTGGGGGGGGGGTCCTGAGTCTTGCAGGGTGAGTTGAAAGTCCTGAACACTGGCCAAATCATTTTGGATTGGAATC